AACGCCATGAAGCACGACTAAGCTCCAAAGTTCTAACGTCCATGCTTCTGTGTGGAGTGAATTCTTCGTACCCTCAATAAAACGGTAGCACTGTAATTCAGCCTGCAAGTAGACTTATCCCCGTCTTCCTTTGATTTTTAGTTTACCTTCTCCAGACTCTAAGCAACTCGGTTTTATTGTGGACAGGTAATACCCATTCCAAAAAGGAGACCGGATAAGAGCTTCAAGTGAAATCTAACCTTGTTTGCAAACTAATCTTACTAGAGGAAAGCAGAAAAATCAGAGAAGTAGACTGGTGAAAGTTTGAATGATATCGGACCAAAAATTAGAAATTCATGGATTTTAAAAGTTGTAATCACTATAGATATGGGCTCTTCAAATGGGCTTAATTGGCAATGTCTCTGTGATGTAGTGATGGACAACTTTTCCATTTGTTCCAACACACACAATTTCAATTTTTTAAACATGTATGAATCCGGAGGGTCTATTCTCAATTGAACACCTACACTAACATGCTATCCATAATATATTTTGAGTAGTGCCCCAAGGCACTTAGGAGAAAAACATAAATTAGTGATAATTTTGTACACGACAAATCCACTGACCAAACTGCCAATTTGAGATTCACAAAGACCATAAGTGATCTCATATTTCAAACGTTATAACCTTCTTATTATTGGTCGGATTTATTTCAAACTTGCTCCATTTTGTTTTTCTTATTTTCTGTTTTCATACAAAGTAACTAATTACAAGGGTTGAATTGCCCTTTCAGAGCTCATGATAGAGTGTGTTGTAATATAGCAAAGGTTGGGGAGTTTTACATGTCTAGAATTTTTCACTACCAATGATGGCTAGCTCAACTGTATTCTGTGCCACTGCTGACGTCACTATTTGGGCGATAGCAGAAATAAGCGAAAAATGGATGAGCCAGTATTCCGAAAAGCACCCTCACAAGCGGCCTCACAATGAGCGATGCAACTGGAGAGGAGAGAAGAAAAAAAACATAAAACAAACAAACAAACAAATAAATATATAAATACAATGTTGATAATATAGATGGTAATGATGATGAGAATGATAATGATAATAAGGATAAGAATACTAATAATAATAATAAATAATAATAATAACAACATTTATAATGCGCACATATCCACCCCAAAAGATGCTCAAGGCGCCTAACAAGGTAAGTACATTGAACGAAAAAAAAATTAACATAATTAAATATAATTCAACAACGTTAATTACATCATATTTTGAAATACACTACGTCTTAACTAAGGAATTCAGACATTAGATAGGTTTTCAATTGTTTTTGGAACACATTTTGATTGGCTGACATTTTGATTGAATGGGGTAGGGAGTTCCATAACCGGGGTGCAGCAGCTGTAAAAGCTCTGTCTCCCCAACTCCTCTTTGTTCTTAATTGTGTTAAATGTGTTGAATTAGAGGAACGAAGACCTGCACGAGAACTTAAAGAGACATTAAGAAGAGAGGAAATATATTCAGGGACTGATCCATTTTGTGAACGGTAGGTGAGTAGTAGAATTTTATATTTGATACGCTGTTCTATTGGAAGCCAGTGAAGTTTCTTGAGTATTTGAGTAGTATGGGTCGAACGTTTAGATTTACTAGTAGTAATGAAAGTAATGATCATTATAGTAATAATAATAACAGTTATAACAGTGACAATGATGATATTAATACTACCACTACTAATAATAACAAAAAATAATAGCAATCATTATAACCAAAACAACAACAACAACAAAATACATATTTCTAATAAAAAAAATACAAAAAAATCCTAAATGAAAGGCTATGCCGATGTGAAAACTTGATAATGACTTTAAAGAATACATGAGCAGCTATGAATTCTGAATTTAACCCTAATAAGGCGGGGGCTATTATGCCCCCCCCCCCCTCCATGATATTCCTGATTGTTCGGGAACGCATATGGATGTCGCCCTACCGCTCGCTGACTTTTTTCTTTCGTGTTCAGCTCATCTTTTAAAAGATTTTTTTTGAAAATCGGACCTACAGTTAGAAGGTCACGTGACCTTTTGTCTTTGCATGTCAGCTCGAAAATCGCTCATTTTCGTGATTTGTGTACAAAACATATGGAAATGTCATTTTTCCTAAAAATAAATCAAACATTGGTTATTGCGTCTTGTTTAAAGTTTAGGTGGTTGTTTTGGGAGTCGAAATAGTTGAATTGTAGTTAGAAATGATATATATATAAAAAAACAATAACATACATATTAGTTAAAAAAACAATAAAATACATAAGAAATTATCAAAAAAGGAGATAACATTAGGGATACGCTGGCTCTTCCAATTTTTTGTCGTATTATTATTCCAAATTGTCGAATGAATATATGTAGTGAAAAAGAATGCTTAAATATATGATTTATGAGTAAAAATGTGATTTTTATGACATTATTTGCATAAATTACCCTAAATATGCAAATGATTGACTTTTTCAAAGAATTGAAATTATCATAGTATTCTATACACTTCGCTTGACATGCGTGACAATTTTCGCGGAGATCGACTGTTTCACGGCATAATGCCCCCCCCCCCCCCTCCCCTGGCCGTACTCAGACCTCAAATAGCCCGGCCTCTTTAGGGTTAAGACGTGGACTAGACTGTTTGACTTTAGTAGTTTTTACTTGATCTTCATTATACAATGAAATGGTTTTTAAACGTATGGACAAATTTGATTGCTACAAATAAATTATGGAGGGGGGGGGGTGTTTTGAAAAAGTCAAATGAGTATGCCCCATAAACTCCCTGTTTCTTTCGTATACTCCCATTGAGACTAACCAATCTATTATGGCGCCCTACTACGAAAGACCAGTGTCTACGTCTGAATCCTTATCTGTTACAAAAGTTATGAGGACCTACCTCCTGCAGGAAAGAGAGAGACGGCAGCAGAATAGTAGCCTACGATATCAGCTGTCCAACAAAATGGGCTTTCAAGACCATAGATGATGATAATATCGTGAAGACTCTCAATTACGAGATTTTGTAGGCAAACTATGGTGATCAGACACCACACCGTCCATCTTTTCTCCGACATCCTCCTGCTGAATATGGCTCGGAGGTTCTTGAAAGTTTTGCAGAGGACTTCCAACAACAACAACAACATGACTATGTCAAGGAGCAGCTAAAGTAAACAGAGCCAAATGTAATATGCCTTCAGCATTAAGTCTCACTGTGCAGACATTATTAGTGTTGCCTATGTTATTCTTTAGTATGATCGCAAGAGTATTAGCATATATGTATTACACCCAAAATGCTATCCGCAGTAAACAACAAACCACGTCTTGGCTGGTCTACTAATACGTAAACGCAATACCCCATGCAGCGACAAAATTATGTGTTTTTTGCGCTTCGACTCGATCGAGTGCTCACTAAAATTAAAATGGCTATTATCCTAAATGGTCATTAGACTAAATGATAAGTAGGCGAAATGACTATTAGATCATGAGGATAGTAGACGGGCTGGGTGTCTAGACCATAATAGGAATAAACGGGCTGGGTGTCTAGACCATAATGGGAATAGACTAACTGGCTAGCAGACGAACTGGTTTTTAGACCAAACGGCATTTCCTGTTGATCAACTCTAACACAAAATTAACAATATTTCATACATGTCAGCAAATTAAAAAAACAAATACAAGTTACCGTAGATGTGTTGTGGTCCTTTGGATCAGAAGATCTGTGGTTCAAATCTCAGATTTGTCTTAACATTAATGTCTTTGGGCAAGAGATCACCCTATAACCCATCTAAAGCCCCCACTACACCAAACCTATTCCCACTACGTTCTGGAAAATGTTGCAACGGGCTCAAACTATGTGCGAAAGGACTGAACGTAGTCGCAACTGTTAACGATCTGCTTAAGAAATTCATGGACGGGTAGGGTGCTCTAGAACTTTGAGCCAGTTCAAAATTTTCCACGTCCTGCGATTAGACGGAGTGACAACGTACTTAAAACGAGATGGACGTACTACGAACGGAATTTTCGTACTTCGATCCTTCTGGGAACGTGTCACAACGTGACGTGGTCGAGCATCAATTAGCAGTACGACCCGGTCAGTTTGCTTGTTAATCCGGTTGGCAAACAGACCCAACTTGAATGTCTTGAAGCTTGAAGCGTTGAACGGGAATGAGGAATGGCAAGAACGCGCTGGGTTTGTATCCCGGCTCGAGCCAGAACGGGATTACACACGCACTATATGAGCGCGTTCGAACGCATTAAGAACGAAAAGAATACGAGTTGAAATGTCTCTGAACGGGGGGGGGGGGGGGGGGGGGGGTCGGGAATAGTTACATAAATTTGAACTTTTAATTGATTTCAAGCTTTCTTGGAGGAGGAAGAGCGAAATCGAAGTGACGTCAGACCAGTTATCCAATGGTCTACACTTTGATGCCGATTAGGCTTTTATTCCGAATGAAATGCTTAAAATGCATTAAAGATCCGGTTGTTAGTAATCTTATCATTATAGAACCTTAATCACGATATATACATTTTTTTTTCGAAAATCGGATCTCAGAAGGATCTTAATGTTATCTGGGCATCACCCGCTAACTCAATAAAATGAGTCAATAGTTATTTGTCTGTTTGTATTGAATGAAATATTATATATTATTCATAATGCTGCCACACAATAGAAGCCTACCTCTTTTTCTCATTTGAAACAAAAATATGCATTTTGAAAAAAATAGTCAACATATCTATTTATATTGTGTCGCTTACCCTTAACCTCACAACAGAAATCATTTTAATGTGTAAAATTGACACACAATTAACATAAATACATGTAATGTAAACAATCTTGGTCCACACAATTTCAACATTTTAGACCTGCATAAGTCAGCGAAAGAACACGTAGTAGCGTATATTATGTCTACACATTATCTGCAGTATTCAGAACTGACCCCTCTAGGCCTCTACAGTTGTACTTCCACAGATATAGTCACCTATAAATGTGAGTTCAAGCGAGAGCGGCCGCCCAGGCACGAAGTTCGCACGGTTCGAGTATCAGAGCGAGGAAAGCGATAAGCTAGGTCAGTTCGTTATTTGTTGTTACAATATCATTTGTATTTCAGGAGTCAAGAGATCGTAATAACCGAAGAAAGATCCGTTGGGTAAGTCAGTTAAAGAAAACCAAATTGGAATAAGGTTCACCGCAGGGGTATACAAATATCTGTCTGTTTTGAGATAATTTAAATTGGTGATTTCAATCTGTCTTTTCGCGCAATTATTCTTTGGATTAGGAGTGTATGAGGTATTCGATGTTTGACGAACAATTATTCTGTGATACATGGGCGAATCTTTATTGGGGGAAACCATTAAAATACATCATTTTGTGATGAATTCTCCGAATAGACCATTTTCGTAATGTAATCAAATTTAGGGCATAAATCTTTGTTAAGTGCCATGTTACAAATTATTTAAATTCACCTGTTATGAATAATTGTATTTTGATATAGGTTTTGGCGGCCAATTTCACACTTTTTTCATTCGAGTTCATATTTCGAGCATTGGAATTAGCGCAATTTGCACTCGCAGCGTCAAATCAGCTTTCAAATTCAGAATCCGTCATTCAAATTCACTATCCGTGCAATCAATTGTTAAATCGGGTCATTCAAATGTTAATTAAAGCCCCTTTCACACCGGGCCATGCGTAGTGTTGCGTACCGACTACGCCCTACGCTGACCTACGTAACTATGCGCTGAGGGACGCAAAGGGGTACGCGAGATAGACCGTACTTTTGGCGTAGAGACTAGACGCAGAAAGTACGCATTTTGTACGCGACAACACTACGCACCCCAACCCTACGCAACACTACGCTACTGTACGCAACACTACGCTACCCTACGCCAGTCCGATGAAGCAGTAAAACCTTGCGCAAATAGTAAGCAACCTTACGCAACCGTAAGCTAACCTGTACGCCAGGCCTACGTAAACGTACGTATTCCTACGCTTCTTATATGCAGTCGTACGCGTAGGTACGCCAATTGCATATGCCGTAGGTACGCGGTGCATATGCACAGGGTACATAACCATACGCCATCATACACCAGCCTACGCATAACCTACGCAGGGACTACGCCGATGCAACATTTTTTTCATGAATACGCTGCCCTTTTTCGGCGTAGTCGGTACGCCACACTACGCAACTCTACGCAGATCCGGTGTAAAAGAGCATTCAGATTCTTTTAATGCCGACTATGGTACCTCGGTGGACATTCAAATTCGTGAATGAGCAAGCATGTTTGAAATAAGTGCATTCAATTTATAAAAAACATTGCGATTTGTTTCTTTGGGGTCTTTGAGAGAATTATTTTTCTGCTTAGTTTATGGATAATAAAGGCTTCATTATCATGACGTTCGCATTATCTTTGTTTATTCCCATTCTCAGTCAGAAATGTTGTTTATTTGTATAAGGTTACACCAAAATATCCTTTAACTGTAAGCATTGTGGGATATATACCGGAATGTTTGATTTTCTCAATGTTAAGACTTACAACAAAAAGTTAAACACATGAATATATATCTTGCAATACTACTCATGGCACACACTTAACAAAACAAAAATGTATGTAGTGTACATGAAAAATGCAGTAACTACCTATATAATAAATAATTATAATGTTCAATTCTTATATACCGCATATTACACAATTGTCTCTATGCGCTTAGATACGAGAGAGAGAGAGAGAGAGAGAGAGAAGAGAGAAAAGACATGAAGAATATTGAGCTTTCACCGTTTAGCAATTACAATTATCAAATCAATTACAAAATGCACATGTTTACTATATAAATTTAAGACTGGCATGATCGAAACAGATATGTTTTTAAGTCGGATTTAAACTGATGTAGTGAAGGACAACGTTTTAGAGACTCTGGAAGATTGTTCCATAGTTCTGGTATGGCATACTGGAAAGCACGGTGCCCATATATTTTGGTGGATGTGACTTAAGGTGTGAATGTATGTTTTGAAGATGAACGGAGATTGCTAGTTGGTAGATAACTTGAAATAATATTTTGCAAATACATGGGAGTATCATTGTGTTTACATTTATATGCAATTGTTAAGAGTTTAAAGATGATTCTATCTCTTACAGGTAACCAATGTAAATCATACAACATGGGAGTAATGTGATCTCGTTTACGTTTACGTGAGACAATTCTAGCTGCACAATTTTGAACTCTTTGGACCTTGTCTATGAGAGAATCTGGCAAACCAAACAACAAACTGTTACAATTGTCAATACGACTCATAACAAATGCATGAACTAGTTTTTCTGTTGTGGCTTGATCAAGGTAACGTCTCAATTTGCCAATAAGACGAATTCTTTTGTGAAGTGTCACATTACTGGATCCAAAATGACACTCGGCTACGTTTTCCCTTTCAACTCATCACAGCTTGTTTAACATATATATTTAGTATAATATTTTTTCCGAGGGATCCGCCACTGGGTCCAGGGCGCGGAGCCCTCAGAAGCTCAGGGGTTTTGGGCAATAAATAACGATCACATGAGCATATTTTAAACCTTATTTGTGATACTGGCAGGACACAAGTTGGTGTTGGGTCCAGGGGGCGGAGCCCTCAGAAGCTCAGGGTTTTTTGTACATTAAATTATCGGCAGATGAGCATATTTTTTACCTTATTGTGTCCCTGACAGGTCACGAATTTGCGTGGGGTCCAGGGGGCAGAGCCCTCGGAAGCTCAAGGGTTTGGGGCAATAAGTAACGGTCAGATGAGCACATTTTTATACCTTATTTGTGACACTAGCAGGACACAAATTGGTGTTGGGTCCTGGGGTCGGAGCCCTCAGAAGCTCAGGGGTTTATACATCAATTTATCGTCAGATGATCATAATTTTATACCTTATTTGTGTCATTGGCAGGTCAGGAATTGGCGTGGGGTCCATGGAGCGGAGCCCTCGGAGGCTCAGGGGTGTTAGGTAATAGATTTCGGTCAGATTAACATCCAGCCGTCCACCTTAGGGCCCTAGGTGGAGTCCAGGGGGCAGAGCCACCGGAAGCTCAGGGGTTTTGGGCAATAAATTACGGTCAGATGAGCATACTTTGATACCTTATTTGTGACACTGGCAGGACACTAATTGGCGTTAGGTCTTAGGGGCCGAGACCCCCAGAAGCTCAGGGGTTTTAAGCATTAAAGTACCGTCAGATTAGCATTCAGACGTCCGCTTTAGGGCCCTAGGTAGGGTCCAGGGGGCAGAGCCACTGAAAGTCAAGGGGTTTTAGGCATTTAATTACGGTCAGATGAGCATATTTTAATACCTTTGATATCTTTCCCCTTTTATTTCCTTCTTTTTTGTTCCTCCTTTTTTTTTCTCCTTTTTTCTTTCCTTCTTTTTTCCCTTCTTTTGTTTCCCTTCTTTTTTTCCCTTCTTTTTTTTTCTTCCTTTTTTTTGCCAGGGGGGGATGGGGGGCCGGCCCCCCTGGATCCGCCACTGGGCCCAATGGCCCGTTATCGTAGCATTGACCCAGATTAAAAATACAAGGTACAGCTAATAAACAATGTGAAATGCTCAGGTTGGATTTTCTTTTACGAATTCCGGCAATCACCGTGCTAGACAAATCTTCTGCTGCAGAGGGGCCCACCGACACACTAAAAAGAAACGAACGAGGTACCACTTAAAACTTATTATAACTAAATACATGAATACCACAAAGCACTGAATGGCCTATGCCAGGCAAATTTTTGCTTGTTATAGGGCCCGACTGGCATCCCAAAACTGCGGCCCAGATGCCCGTTGTTGTAGCATTAACCACAGTTAAAACGGCCTACTTAATAGGTATGACCAAATGGTTCAATACTCAGATTCAAATTTGATTTCGATTGGAGAATTCTGTAGTCGGAATGGGGCAAAATTGTGTCCTGCAAAGACAGCAATGCGTCGTGACAAGACGTGTCATTTCGGTGCCGTGTTTGCGGCCTGTTCGCGCGCCATTATACACGCATACGGTACGCACTGTCTACGCAATACGCGGGCAAAAATGGGCAACATTGGCACACATTAGGCGGTGTTACACAGAGGCCAAAAATCCGGATTTTAGCTATCCGGATTTTAGTTATCCTCTTAATTGGCTGTCTGTCACCAATTATCCCTTCAAAAATCCCTTAAAAAATCCTCATATGAAGCAAGATAATTCTCTCTTGAAAGGATTTTTCAAGGGTTTTTTAAAAGCATTTTTCTGTCTGACACCAATGTTGAAAGAATCCCTTTAAAGATCAGTGTAAGTTTAACGTTATTGGCTAGCATAGGGTTTTTAACGCGCTATTATAACATGCGCACAATTATATTAGCGCGCATTTAATGATTGAACGTGTGATGTCACAATGCTTATCTACCTAAACGGCACATGCGCAATGGCCCATCAAAAATCCGGATTTTTCGTAGCCTGTCTGTCACCAGTCTGTCACTGACGTAAATGAAAAAACTAGATTTCTAAAATCTGGTTTATTCAAGATGGGTCGGAATTTTTCTGTGTGACACCGCCTATTGACACGCAATGGCAATACGCAAAAATTTGATGCGTGCAGAATTTTTTAAAAATTAAAAATTCTCTCTATAATACGACAAGGCACGCATCCCCATACCCTTCCAACACTCCTCACGCTCGTTCACGAAGACTTTAATCTTTGGCACGACGCATTGCGTGGCATTGCGTGAGGTAAAAATCGTGCTAGTGTCAGGGTGGCTTCACGCTGCAGCTCCTGATTTTGTGTATAAACTAAGCATTTCTCATGGGTTTTGAGTACATCTTTATAATGTAAAAAAAGTTTATTTTCAACCAAACTACGAATATGTTTACTTGAAGGTAATACAAAGTTTTAGTATGGGGTAATGAATTTGGTTCAAATGAAAATATTGGAAGTATATGCGATCCTACACTATTCAGTGATCGTTGTTGCGGTTGAAATCAAGTCTAAAGTTATGAAATTGTAAATAATGCACTCTTTATGTTGTATAGCTCCCTCTCCAGGTCAAGATATTAATTAAGCTGTAAAACAATGTTTCTTGACTAAAATCGACCGACTAGCTATTCCCGTTTAGAAGTTATATATCACAACTACGTATTCTGAGATTTTAATGGTCGCACCTACCA